TAATTAATGGTGACAGACTGGATGCTTTCCTTAAGATCAGAAACAAGACAAGGGTATCTGCTCTCACCATTTGTTTTCAACATGGTATTGGAGGTTTTAGCCAAAGCAGTTAGGCATCCAGATTGGAAAGCAAGAAGTAAAACTATCTCTGTGCATGGATGACATGATCTTATACACAGAAAATCATTAGGATTCCATTCAAAACTATCTGAACTAATAAATGAGTTCAGCAAAGTTGTAGAGTATAAGATCAGTATACCTGAATCATTGTATTTCTATTCTTTTGCAATAAACATTCTGAAAATGAAATTAACAAAACATCTCCATTCAAAAGAGCTTATTCTTAATCCTGACAAAGGACAGTTCTGCTCTTTCAGCTGTAACTATCAGGCAATTCCCAGAAGCAGACTGACGAGGGAATATAGCAATCCCTTTGCCTGGAAATTCCAGTCCTGTTTGCTCAGGAGCGTTAAGGTTCATTTGGCTGGAAGTTCTCAGGACTCCTGATCTTCTCCAGGGGCTCCTCCCAGCCCACCAGCCATTGAGGCCCCAAACTCCTTCCTGGCAGGAAGTCTACGGACAATTAAAAATAATTGTATTGTTAGCCATCAGCAGTGAAAGACTTCAAACAGATGGGTAAGTACCAGAGCCTCTTGTACTTTAATTTAAAAATTACAGCTCAGCCTGATTAACAAGAAGCTCCTCTTTTCAGCAATTGAGTCCAGTGGTCTCTTGCCCACTCATCAGTGGTGTGTAATCACTTCTGCTGCACAGGCAGGGGAGAATGCAGATCACATTGCTTCTACCATCCCACAAAATTCCTGAGGAAGGGCAGGGTAGACATATATCACAAGCCATGCGTATCTAGTCTGTGTCCCCAGTCCGTGTTAGTCAGTGAGGTCACTCCTCAAAGCCTCTTGATGTCAGACATGGCATTAATTGCTTCTTTGACTGGCCCTTGTTTTTTAAGTAAACCCAGAGCAACATAATTCAAAGTTAGAGAACTGTTTTTTTTTTTTAATTTATTTTTATCTATTTATTTGAGAGAGAGAGAAAGGGTGCATGCATTTGGGGGGGGTGTGTGTGTGGAAGAGCAGAGGGGAGGGAGAGAGATAAGCAGACTCTGTGCTGAGCACAGAGTCTGACATGGGGCTCAATTCCAGGCCCCCAAGATCATGACTTGAGCAGAAACAAAGAGTCAGACGCTTCCCCAACTGAGCCACCCAGGTGCCCCAAGAATGGTTTTAAATTGGTTCTTATTTTATGTGAGTCTAAGACTTTCCACTTAAGGGACTGCCAGATAGCCCTGCACATTATTCACTATACCCTGGTACCAACTGGGGAAGTGGGACTTGCCATTAGCTCTATTTACTGTTACAAAGAAGCATCCAGACCACAAAAGGAGATCCAAGTTCCTGTAGAAGTGAATGAGGACATTCAAATTTCAAAAGAAATTTATGTGGGCCAGATAAAGCATCTGGGAGATAGAATCCAAGTTGACATGGGCTTGAAAGCACTGCCAAGGACCCCCCAGAAGACATCAAACTGCCATTAGAGCCAGGACAGACAGCCCTTCGATCCAATCCTGTTCACTAGAGACTTTTTTTCCCCATTAAAACGGTTCCTTAATAGTATTACAGAAGACAAAAACCAACAGCTATGACAGGCCCACATCTTGTACACTGTTTAAAATGTTACACGCACGTTTACACATGTAACCTATAGACACGCTCTTCCTCCCCACCCCTTCTACTACCATCTCTCCTTGTCTGTCAAATCCCTACTCAGACAAGACCTAGCTCAAATGGCACCTCGTCTGCAGGTTCTCCTAATGTCCTGGGCAGAAAGTTCATCTTGCCACTGTGTCTCCACGGCATTCTTTCACCGAGCCCTGCCACAGCCAACTTCAAAATGGCTCTTGAATTTATCCTCTCTCTAGTCTAGCCAATTCTTGCCCACTTCCAGTATCTCTTCTTCTCCCTGCTTGATGACTTCTTATAGGTTTGCCCCTAAATCCATCCTCCATACATCCATGAGACAGGCCAGGAGAAATGCTGGGAAGAAGGAGCTAGAAGGAGTTCCAGGATGGGGTGGAGTGTCACCAAGGTCATGAGAGGGCTGGGAGGTAGGAGCCTGAGCCAGAGGTGGGGCGTGTTGCTCAGAGGAGTTTCATGGGATGATCCCGAGGGAGGTACTGGGGTGGGGAGTAAGTGGGTGGGAGGCAGCGATCATCAAAGTGGATGAGGACCAGGATATGGGTTAAGGTGATTTTCCACATGAACATTGAAAGGAGCAGGACAGAGACTCTGAAGTTTTGATGTGCAAAAAAATTACTTGGTATGCTTGATAAAAATGCAGGTTATCAGGTATAGCCCTCAAAGAATCTAATCAACATCTCTGGGGTGTGGCCAAATTGTGTCCCCCCTGCCCCTCCATTCAGTTTAAGTCCTAACCCAGGGCGCCTGGGTGGCTCAGTCGGTTAAGCGGCTGCCTTCTGCTCAGGTCATGATCCCAGAGTCCTGGGATCGAGCCCCACGTCGGGCTCTCTGCTCACCGGGGAGCCTGCTTCTCCCTCTCCCTCTGCCTGCCGCTCTGCCTACTTGTGCTCTCTATCTCTCTGTCAAATAAATAAATAAAATCTTAAAAAAAAAAAAAAAGTCCTAACCCACAGTATCTCAGAATGCGACAATAGGGAGGTAGGGCTTTTAAAGAGGTGGTTAAGCTAAAATGAGGTCCTACGGGTGAGCCCTAATCCAACATGACATAAGAAAGGGTGAGGACACTGACAAGAGCACACACAGAGGGAAGACCCTGTCAGGACACAGCAAGAAGGCGGCCATCTACAAGCCAAGGATAGAGGCCTCCAAAGAACCCAACTGTGCTGACCCGTCTTGGGCTTCTAGCCTCTAGAATTGTGGGAAAATTAATTTCTGCTGTTTAAGCCCCTGGTCTGTGGTATTTTGTTATGGGAGCCCGAGCAGACTAATATACTGCCCTAAAACAATGGCAGGAGTTGGGGGTCTGGAGAATGACCGAGAGACATATTACACCACCTTCAGTGAAAGAAAAAAGTAACCAGAGGACACCAGAGGATGGGATTGATGTGGAGCGGAGGCGACATCGTGAGATGGTGTGAGCCCCACATCTGAGAGTGCAGAGGAAGTCGGGCAAACCCCCTCCCCCTGGCTCCACAGTCTGTGAGGAGGGAAAACAGGTTTGGAGGAACGAGGTAGCCAGGCTTCAGTCAAGGTAAAGAGGACGTGGAGGTAAAGAACATCTTGGGTATTCTAAGTAAAAACGGTAGGTTTCTTTCTGGGAAAACCTCACTAAAATGACAATATATAACAGGTATTTTCAGGACTTAACCAAACAAAAAAAGGACAAGTAGAGATAACAGCAACAAAATTTGGGGAGCTTGACAGCCCCTGGAAAAGTGATTAATACCTTAATACAGTGGTTCCTCAGCAGCAGCATCACCTAGAAATCTGTGAGACAAACTCCTGGGTCTCACCCCGGACTTCCTGAGTCAGGAACCCCGTGGGTGGGGCTGCACACTCTGTGGCAACAAGTTCTCTGGGTGATAACACACATGGAAGTTTGAGGATCCCTGACTCACCAGAACTGATCAGAGCTATCACTTGTGAAATTTGACAGGCAACCAGCAAAAAGGCTCAGGAATGAAAGCACCAGGTAACTTCAGAAACAGGAAGTGAGGAGCTAAAGTCATGAGAACTGGTTAGAAAGATCGAGGAAGCCGTTAGGTCCCAAGACCCCCTCCCCACTGGTTCACATTTGCAGGCTCCATTCCAGCACACAAAGGGGACAGATCTGACAAGAGCAGGTGTGTTTCTGCCTCAATGGGCTACATTATTATATCAAGTCCCAATTTGGGGCAGAATCCTGTTACCTACCATGTTCCCAGGGAGATGGTTGCCTTGTTGTCTCAGAAAATAGTACTGAATGTGAAAAGACAGAATACAGCCCCTGACCCAGGAGGCGGGAGACCTTGTTCTAGGTCTGACTCTGTCTCCAACTGTATAATCAGGACAAGAACTCCTCATTTTCCTGAATTGCATTAGGTTATTTTAAAGGCCTTCAAACCCAAATATTCTATGGTCACATTTTTAATTACAAATGAAGAAGAAGCATAAAGTAGATGATAGATCGTGCTAAATGCCAGCATTGCCTAATTAGCCTAATAGACGGGGTGATCCCTTAATAGATATTTGCCATGTGGAGTTTCTATGTTTTTGAGTATTTACTTCTATTTAAATCATTTCAACAAATATATACAGAGCTTCTACTGGATGTACAAATGTCTGAGAAGTGACACTATCCAAATATTTAGAAGAGCTACTGGGAACTATGAGTGACGGTGTTTTCAATATATTCTTAACTTTTTGTGATTTTGCAGTATTACTCTATGATTTAAAAATTAAGGACTGCCACAGTGATAGCAAATAGGTTAATCATCTTAGGTGCCAATTCTGATCAATTGCTAATCTCTGCTTGGAGTGCTGTATTGGGAGCTTTGAAATTCATTTCAGATTCAGTGGGAGAGAATGCTCTGATCACTTAGTGATGTCTGCCAAGAGAACACATGCTGTGCCTCTGTGTCTTCTGCTACTATAATCTAGAGGCAAAATGATCTCCCTTTACCCCTGTGAATGTGGAAACTGGACCCCAGATTAAAAGCTTAGTTCCTCTCCTACGAGCCTTAAACAGAAACAGAGGACTCATCCCGGGAAGCCAATCATGGCTTCCAGATGTATCTTCCTTTTGGGGAGCATCTTATGCATAATTTGAAGAGAATGTTTCTTTAATGTCAGGAAGGCTATGGAGAAACATTGCTCTGTGCAGATTCTTCTCATCCCCTCAGCCACCTGAAGACCCTTAAATGTCGCCTCCCTCCCCCACACCCACCACCACAGAGCTCTGGCATCATGCCTTAGAGAAGCCATCCCCGCCTCCCCCAGGATGGAGAGCTGGTCAGTACTCACTGCCCATTATCCTCCGCACTGTCGGGCCCTCAGCGGTCATTTCTCTCACGATTTCATTGTCATCCTCGTTGGCATCCAGCCAACGACCGCAGTTGAAGTTGTACTTGTCCTTGGTCAGAGTGTTTACCAGGGTCATCTGGAATGAAGTCCTGGGGTGAGCAAGAAGTTGTACCCGAGATAGACCACACCCTGGGGTCGCCATTCTGCCATCTCAACAAAGGGAGGCCAAGGCCATCCCGTAGAGATGACTCTTGTGGAAGGTGGAGTTCCAGATTAACATCTATCCCTCTTGCTTCCTGGAGACCCATGCTTCCTTAGCAGCCAGGTGACTAGGGAAGAATGCAAGTCTCCTAACACCTAAGCATTTTCTCAGTCGACTTTGGAGGTCCTCTCCCCATCAGGACGTCCCCGTGTCCGATGTCCAAATTCGGGTCTCACTCTGAGACCCACGCTTACTCACCCCCACTCCCAAGAGAAATAAAGACAAACTTAGGTGACAGGGTCATTAGAAAGGGACCATTCTGGTTCCTCTCCCAAGCACCTCCCAAGCCCCGGGATGGCACACCTCACCCTTTCTAAATGCCATCCGGAACCAGGGCTCCTTCTGTCATGCCACACCCGAATCTTGTAAAACCTGCCAAGATCCGGGAGCTCAATCTACGGGGAGAATTGACAAGGTTTGGGTGGACATAATCAAATGAAATGTGTTTAACCTCACAGCTGACCCCTTGCCAGGAGGGGCACCCACTCTGGGCCGTGTCTTCAGCAGTGAGGATGGCTTTGTTTCAAGCCACCCTCGTAGACTGTGTCCTCTCACGCCCTTGCAACCAGGGGCACGTGAGGGCAAGACAGCCGTGTAGGGCCCGGGGTTCAGTCTGGCCTGGCGAAATCGAACAAAAATAACTGACCCACAGTAGGATCCTGAATAAAGAAAATCTTCCAAGCAATAAACTCCCAGTAACAAAACCCATATGGCAATCCTGCAAATTAGCACAGGCCCACAGCCCCAGGACTCCACTGGGCACTAAAACAGACTAAAAGATCAATACAGCAGTCATGCCCTTTCCCTAGGGGCTCGCAGTCTAGCCGGGAAGACAAATACATGAAGAGCAATGAACTGAGTGTATAACAGAGGCACCAGTAGGGTGCTCTGGGAAGACAGCTGAAAATTACAAATCATTCTCACCTAAAGGTCAGAGCACACTTCTGTTGGCAAAACAAGCCTCGCTCTAGTTATATACGCATCAGAAATTTAAAGCTAAGTTTCTTTTAAAATATTCTACCATTTATACTTTCCCTTCAATTTGCTCCTCACTCTCTAATTCAGTCCACATCAGACGGTTTGACGTTAATGTGTTCAGGGTCTCTGTTCTACAGTGATTCCCCAAGTTTCAAGGCTCTTCAAGAACATGCTATACCTGCTTCTTTCCCCCAGGCTTGGTTCTGGAGTGTCTGATTCAGGTGAAGGGCCAGATGCAAAGTGGACCCCATTCAGTCACTAGGTCACTCTGACACCCCTTACAGGGGCCTGAAGTTCTGGTAGCACTGTTTTGTCTTCAAACTTGATTCAAAATCTGGCTTAGAAAACCATCCTCATGACAAATACCTTTTACATCCCTTTCTCCTTCCTCCTCCCTCCCACCGTATTACACTTCCCTCCTACCCTAAATTTCTCGATTACGCCTGGTTTGAACCACTTGTTGTTGGGATTCAGGAGAATCTCGTCCGTCCGCCCCTTCTGTCCATAAATCTGGATGAAGATGGGAGAGTTGGTACCAGCTTTCTTCAAGTCGGTTGTCCAGACCCACAGGGACCAAGGGAATTCTGCAGAGACAGGTCAAGTTGTCCCATAAAGACTTCAGGAATAAAGAATTTTCATGTTACCAGTAGGGAAGAGAAGCAAATCAAAGGTGTTCAGGACTGAAGTGCAGATCATGCACAGGTGTGGCCCACTCTCAGAAACCCACTATAACAGGTGCCAATATTAGGGACCCAAGGATTCCTTGCTATTTGAAAGAGGGTACCTCAATGATCCTTTTAATGACAGAAGCCTATTAGTATGTTTTAAAGAGGAAAAAGAGCTGACTCCCTGCACCCTATGTATATTCAAAGTGCACTGTGTTGAACCATTCAGTTTAACATCTAGCCCATCACAGCAGCTTATTCAATTTGGGGTCACAGGGGTATTATCCATGGTGCTGGGTATGTAACTCTATGGGGCCTTTACCTTGGAGAAATGAGCTTCCTGCGGAGCCCATTCTCTTCCTCTCTAGAGGAGAAATGAGAAGCAAAAGTGGACCCCTACACAGCGGAGTTCTTGCCCAGGGGTCTGACATCCTGGCTTCTGCTGGCCCTGTCTGGGAAGCCACCAGCCTCTGGGCCCTCTTCACCTACTTTTCAGCCTCTTCTTCCTGAGAGACACCATCTCGTAGAGCTGCCTCTCGATCAGCCCATCTACCTTCTTCTCATCCAGCCAGTTGCTGCAAGGGAAGGTCTGTTGGATGCCCGTGAAGGGGCACAGAATCACCACCTGTGGCGCGGGGGGCAGGGGGGGGGGGGGGCGGGGGGGGGGGCAGATCATGAGTCTCCTGCAGCAGGTCCCCTGGTTGGGACCTCCTTACAATGTCTGATAGCCTCTTCATGTTAAGGGTGGTCTCCATGAGGATTCTCAAGGAATGGCACTTTTCTTCTTGTTGCCAGTCTCATTAAATCTTAGATCAAGAAATACCTCCCCTAAGGAGTCTTCCCGAGTAGGTATTATCCATCTTCCAATTTACCAGCCCAAATCTCAAATTCTTCCCCCTACACAAAACACCTTCTTTGAACACCATATTTCTCTATGCACATAAAATCTCAGTCCAAACCAAATGAACTAGAATACTAAATTAATTCCCTATATTTGTCTTGTAGGAAAAAGGTCAATCACATAAAAGGCAATGAATATCTGGAATATAATACAAAAACAAACTACCCTCTTCTGGGCTTGTGCCTCATTCAACCTTCTTTCTCACACTTTCTCTCCTCTACTCACATTCTGAACTCATGGGTTTAGAACTCAGAAGTGTGACCAGCCTAGGTCACTCACATTAGCTATGTCCAAAGGAATGTTCTTGTGACACTACAAAATTTTCTATCAGCCAAGAATTGACTATTCACACTGCTAGATTCTCAGCTTTACCTTCTTTTCAACTTGAAAACTAATTTGACCCTACCACTGATCAAGCATTTTGACTAGCCACTGTCTTAACTCTGTTTGTTGTCAGTTTTACATGGTTACTGCCATTGACTGTAATTTCTTTGGATTGAATTATGACCCTTAGATATACCCAGATATCTCTGAGAATTCAACTAATACTTACTATCTGACCGTGGTAGCTATATGAAACCTTAACTTATAAACACCAAGGGGAAGGGAGATAAAAGATCAGGGGAGGGAAGTCTGTACCCCCTCAGCCTCCCAGAGAAACTCTCTTCCCTCAAGATAAATGATGGCTCAGAGCCTCATGTGGCAGCCTCGTCAAACACGTTGGTCCTGTGACACAAATGTATTAGCAATTAATATAGTCTACCCTCATATGCATTGATCATATGGGAAAGCAGAGGTCCAGAAAAGGTAACGAAGTGCCCAAGTTTGCAGTCAGTTGGTGGCAATACCAGAAGCATAAATGCTCCTGACTTATAATTATCAGTGCAGGGCCTTTTATACCCATCAGCAAGAATTTCAGGATTCCTATTATGGCTGAGGTCCACTGGGACCCATTATTGCGCTCCATCTTTTATGCTGAAGATTCTATGCGACCATGTATTCAGAAGTGGACCAACCCATACACCTCCTCCACTTGTGCACACACACACACACACACACACACACACTCTCTCTCTCTCTCTCTCTCTCAAATAAGTATTATATGTTGGCTAAATGAAAATAATAAAAATAAATAAATCTTTAAAAAAACTAGATTCAAGAAGAAATAGAATGCCTGAATAATTCTATAACCAGCAAAACAGAAACAACAATTTGTTAAAATCATTAATTTCACACACACAAAATCCCAAATAATTTTGCAAGAGCCTGGAACCAAACATTTGGGGGATAGATCATTGCAATTTTTTATACCCTGTTTTAGGAAAGAGAATAATTCTCATTTCATGCCAGGATCAAACGTGTCAAGGACTAGATGAGAAAGGAAAATTAAGGGCCATGCCCCTCATGAACATATACACAAAAATTTTATATAAAATCTTAGCAAACCAATTCCAGAAACACATAAAATTAAAATCCATTATGACCAAGTTTGTCTTGAAGAAATTCACAGTCGGTTTGCTATTAGAAAATACAGTCATATCGGGGCGCCTGGGTGGCTCAGTCAGTTAAGCGTCTGCCTTCAGCTTGGCATCTGATCCCAGGGTCCTGGGATTGAGCCGCACAACAGGCTCCCTGCTCGGTGGGAAGCCTGCTTCTCCCTCTCCCTCTGCCCCTCCCCCCCTGCTCCTGATTGCTCTCTCTCTCTCTCTGCACTCTCTCTCTCAATAAATAAAATGTTAAGGAAAAAAACAAGAAAATGCAGTCATATAATTCACCAAATTAATACAAGAGAAAAGCCTTATGACTATTGCACTAAGTGCAGAAAAAGCATTAGATAAAATTCAACAATTCATAATAAAAACTTTGAATACAAAATAGAAGAGTATTTCCTTAATCTAATCTAAGACCGTCTACCAAAACCCCCCAACAATCATAATTAACTAAATAGAACATTAGAAATAGTTCCTTTAAAATCAACAACAAAACAAAGATGTCTACTATTAACCCTCTGTTCAGCATTGTACTGCTCATGTGGTCAAATAAAATATAAATTAAATATAAGCTTTGGAAAGAAAGAAACCAAACTGTCATCATTCACAGACAATATGACCTTCCATAAAGAAAATTCCCCAAAAATCTATAGACAAATTATCAGAATTAATTAGAGTTTAGTAAGATGGCTGTTTGTAAACTCAATGTACAAAGTACTTCTATTTCTACATCAGCAACAAGTAGTTTAAAATATAAGTTTAAACAGATATCATTTATAATAGCAATAAAAATTGTAAGGGCTCTATGAATATATCTAACAAAGACATGTAAGACCTTTATCAAGAAAAATATAAAACTATATTGAAAAACATTAAAGGAGACCTAAATTTTAAGAGGTATACAATGTTCATAGAAACAAAAAATATCTAATAATAAAGACGTCAATTCTTCCAAATGGATCTATAGATCCAATTGAATTCTGTTCAACACAGTTCTTCAGGGAACTTAGCAAGAAAATTCTAAAACTTCCATGGAAAGGTTAAAGGTCATGAATATTAACACATTCCTGAAGAAAAAGAATGAGAGAGAGAGAGCCCGAACAAGTGGGGGGGGGGCAGAGAGGGAGAAGTAGACTCCCTGCTGAGCAGGGGAAGCCCCATGTGGGGCTCGATCCCAGGACCCCAGGATCATGACCTGAGCCAAAGGCAGATGCTTAACTGAGCCACCCAGGAGCCCCCAAAATACTTGTTGACCGAGAGATTTATAAGCTGAAGCGAAACAACACCAAGAATCAGGACAGTTTATAACTACCAGCTAGCACTTGCATTTGGCCCTTGGATGCATGCACAGAACAGCCCTCATTCCTGACCATAAGCAGAACAAGATGGATGGGCACATTACCAACCCAACTGCCCAATGAAAGGGCCTGCCCATGTGCTCTGTCATTGGTCCAAAGGAAGTAGGAAGCAGGAAGCAGGTCAGCATTTCTCTTTGCAAGTTAAAGAAGAGGGGTTGAATCAGGAAAGGGCCCCTCCACCCCGGGAGGGAATCCTTTACCTTCTCGCAGTACCAGCCTCTATTGACGCCCACATTGCCATGCCCGATGGAGACCCGACTCAGAGGACTGAGGAGGACAGCCAGCTCGATGTGGAAGATGTCTGTGCGGCCACGGTCAAACACACCACCTTCCAGGAAGATTTTCCCACTGTTCTTATTCCCTCTGGCCCCATACATGACCAGGTAGATTTTGGATTTGGTCCCAGCCCGCCGGACATCCCCAGTGAAGACGGTGACCACATACGAGATAGCTGGTGTAGAAGCCACAGGGGAGGAGAAAGTTAGTGCCAGCTGGTTACAAAAAATCCCACCCACACTCTCCTCTCCCTGGCTCCAGCCTCCCTAGACCCTCCCTCCTCCATACATCCTCATTTCCCCCCTTTCCTCCTCCCCAAGATGACACCCAGTACCCCTCTCCGCTCCATGTTATCTGAGTTTCGGAATAAACTGCAGGTATTTCTATAAGAAGCTGCCAGCCCTGATTACAAAAACTAACAAAGAGAAGGCAGAATTTGAGTTGGCTAAGAATAGTACTTGTTATTAACGTTAATTACCACGTGCCTATTATTAATAGCTGCCAGATGAATTCTGTTATGTCTGATTTAATTATAACCATCAACTTCATTAATGGAGATTTATATTCAAGGCTATCTGATTCATTTCACTTGCTCTTTTGCTCATAACTTAAAAAGACAACTTTTAATAGAGGGCACTAATGTCCTCCTTCGCTGCCTGACGTGGTAGGGTGAGGGAAGGAGAGAACATTGTGGTTGGGCCATCAAACTGGGGTTTGATCAGTCAGGAGGCAAGATGAGGACGTGAAGTTCTGGGCAAGAGCCAGCAAACAGCAATTAAGCTCTGAGATGGGACTGAGTAAGAGAATACACTGAAGGCAAACATCGAAACTCTGCTAAGGTCTGGCCTCCCCTCATTTTGTCCTGGAGTCGAAGGCAATGGCCCTTTAGTCCTTGTCAGTTCTCCCGAGCTTGCACACACCCCTCCACCCTACCCCCAGCCCCACCCTCCACCCCAGAGCCCAGGGAGATGAAAATCTCAAATTTTCTTTGGAGCTATAGCACATGTGGCTCCGTGGATGCCTTTTTCATTTATACACTTACACCTTCCTTTGTTCAACAAATGCTGATTGAGCGCTTACTACATGCAAGGCCTCAGGGAGACCATGAAGATGGGAAAAAGTGGCCACTGCCCTCAAAGAGGGGGTCTCCAGCTCTACTTCTCCAAAACACACGGACCTGGGACATACGTCCACAGCCCAGGCTACCAGCAATGCCCAGCCCTCGCCGGCCATTTCTCCTGCTCCTCTACCACTGGGGCAAGTAAGAGTCACATGGTGAAAGGGGTCATAGCAGACCCACTCTGGTATCTGCTTTTAAGTAAATACTTTGCAAACTTCAGTTACAAATGATGTGTGAGGTTGAAAGGTGTTGGAGCAGAGGAACACTGGATTTCCTAACCCAGAGCAGTCATGGTCTACGTACGGCAAAGGAAGGGAGTGCCCTATCCACAGGAGGAAGGCAGGGCTCAGAGGGAGTGGCGGGTAGCACAAAGAAGAGAAATGGCATCACAGGCTGAGGAGAACGATGTTCTAAAGATAAAGAGAGAGAAAGAGTAAGACCAGCAGGGAGGGGAGGGGAAGGCACGGCTGAGGTGGGGGGGGGCAGCTGAGCAGAAGACAGGTGGATGAGGCGGGGCGTAGGTTCAGGAAAGAGGGACAGGTGTATGGATGAGGTGGAGGGGGATGGGTGGGGAGGTGGAAGTGGGGAGATAAGATGTTGAAAGATGCTGCCAAGAGCTGGAGCTAAACTGTAGAGCAATTTGCATACTGTGCCCCAGAACTTGGATGTATTCTCGATGCAGTGCTGAACAACAGGAGGCTATGCAGCAGAGCACCTTCTCAGATGTGCACATTCACAGCACTGATTTTCTCGAACATCCATGAACTCTCACGCTGGGAGTTGCAGGTTTTCTGTGGAATTCACACAGGGTAGAGATTTAGGTGGCAGATCAAATCCTAGATCTGTCACTTACCAGCTATATGACCTTGGACAGGTCTCTTAACATCTATGTGACTCAGTTTGCTCATCTGTGAAATGGGAGTGATAACAGTTCCTATGTTACAGGGTCACTGGGGGGATTAAAGGAGCTGAAACGGGTCAGGTGCCTGGCAGAGGGCCCGGCGTATAGTAAGCACTCAATAGCAGGAGGAGTTAAGAGCAAATCCATGTTCTCATAAATGTCCACATGGAATAGGAGTTCACATTCCAGCTTCATGCAGCGGATAACCTCTTTTGCCCTGGGAAGTTAGTATCTGCCCAGGGGCATCTCCCCACCTCCTCTGGTACCAGCAGAGCCCCAGGCTCCAGCCCAAAGGGACAGAACACTTTCAAAAGCAGGAGGAGTGGCTGGCTCCCACTTGATCACAGGCCTCCAGGCCCACAGATGAGAACACGGAGCCTTGGGCAAAGTGAAATATCAGCCAATCAGACTTCCCCCTTCTTCAGTTCTACCTGTGGTCTCAGCTCCGCCCACTAAGATATCCCTTTGGATTTTGCCATCATCTTCATCCAGGGCCAGCCAGCGGTTAAGGGGGAAGTCATATTTCCTTTTGTTCCCAATATCTTCAATGATAATCTGGGAAGGAGAAGAGACGGAGGGAATGACCAGTTGTCATGGAGGGCTCACCTGGTGATCGAATCCCTCCACCACTCAAGTGCACTCTGAGAATACACTCTCACCTTCCTGGTGGCCCACTAAGCTTCTTACAAGGACACACCTGGTGCAGAGCACTGAGAGGCACATGGGGATGACTGAGCCACTCTTCCTTCTTCCATTACAGATCATTTAAAAAACTCAGTGCAGGAAATTTGGCAGGATGTGCCCTGTGAGACCTGGGTGTGAAGCCTGGATTTGCGGACCGCAACAAGAGCATCATCTTCCCCACCTGCTGAAGGGTGGGACCCTAACCTTCTTGGTGAGGAGCAGAGTCCACACAAGGAGAACTACGAGCCCCAAATCAGGCACACAGAATCCTGGGATCTGGTGATCAGGTCTGAAAACATCAGTCACTGACAGGGAGGATAATGGAATCGGCCATTTATGAAGCTTCCCGCAGGACACTCACATGTGAGCTAGGCTGGAGAGGCTGAGATAAGGGGGTCTTGCAGAGTTTACGGAGAAGCCGAGGGGCTCTCCCAAATGTCCCAGGACCCCAACTGAAAACCCACTCTAAGATAAGCAGACTGGTCAATAACTAGAACATGCCCTCCACTCCTAGCACTGTGCAGACAGAAGCATCTGCGGACACGCAGGGTAAGCTGGAAAGTGGACATGTCTGTCCAGGTGTTCCCAAGACTGCCCGAGAGAAGGGACTCTGATTTCAATGAAAGACTCATTTCTTAATATCCAAATTAATATTCTTAATGTCTGCAGTGTGCCAACAGGGCACACATGGGCTGCCTGAAGGCATCCCACCTTGTTCTAATCCCATGTTCGTATAGGAACCTTCTGGGCTAGGAACAGTCTTCCTGAGGACACCACTCACTAGGGGGTAGCCAGTGGCCTGCGCCAGTAACTGGAAGCCACACCAGGCTTCTCTCCTCAGATAAATCAGTATTCAGGCTTCGGTTTATAAATCAGTCCCTTGTGAGTTTGGTTGGTGTGAGTCACCCTTCAGAGCCTGCTGATGTGGTTGTCTGTGCTTCTCAAGCTGAGGGCCTGCACACCACTGTGGCACAGCCCAGAGAGTCTTCTGCCGCCGAAGTCCAGCCTCTCCCAACCCTCCTATCTGCACATTTCTCTGTGGCTTTCATCTCCGTGTTAGGGGGGGACTGGGGAGTCAATGACAAAGGTCTGAGGCTTCAACCTGCCTCCTAACCCCCCTTACTCTGATGCTCACCGAGTTGGAAAAGCAAAGTGAAGGAAGATAGGACTTGGTTTATCAGACAGGCTATCAAGTCTACTAATAAACCTAGATGTACAGATTCACCATCTCTGTCTTTAAATGTTCACAGACGAGTGTGCCAGCCATGGTTTCAAGAGCCAGAGCACCACCCTCACAGCCCGTGGAGTCCATCAATAAAGGGCCTTCCACTGGCCTAGTGTCTGATGGAAATTCCTGACCTGAGAAGTTTAGCTAATCTGAAAAATAAAATGTGTACCATTCAATACCCCTACAGGACAAAACTAGCTGAATCACAAAGAGACGGTATTTGAAATATAAATTTTTGAATAACAACCAAGACGCTAAAAACTAGATGTTCCAAAAATACTAAATACAAAGAAAGGCCGAGAGAGAAGATAAAAGCTTAAGTACTGGTACAGAAAGTATGAAAGTCCATGGCCAGTTCTAGAAATTTTCCAGATGCATATTAAACTGTGTAAACAATTATCTGTGAAAATTCGTGGCCGCAAGGTCTGCAAGATGAGGCTGGAGGAAGCCGGCTCCCCGAGAGCCAACTATCTGGAAGCACCTCTGGGACGCACACCACAGCGGGAAGGAGCAGAGGTGCAGGCAGGGAAGGAAATGACCGAGCGCTGCGGTACAGAGAAACTAGCCGGGGAGAGGGGGCAGAGGGTTCTCCCAAAGGCATTCTGGCCTCTGCTGACATGGGTCCTGGCTGACTCAGGACCCCTGTTGCTCAGACGGGCATTCCCAAGAGTCCCTTGTAAGAGAGGAGGGAGCAGCTTTCCCACTTCTGTTCACAACCTCCTCAGACAGCTCTGAGTTTTCATGGAGTTCCTTGTAAGACTTCAGGATGTCTCAGGAATGGTTTTTGCTAACAGAATGAAAGGTTGGTGTTCCAGCCAGAGTGCTGCTTCACAGATTCTGTTGTTACGGCAGAAACCATTGTAGAAGAAGACTGGGGAAACAGAAACCCCCTTCCCCATGACTGAGAGAAGCACACGCAGAGAGAGAGACAGAAAGAGAGAGAGGGTGTGTGTGTGAGAGAGAGACAGAGAGACAGAGAGAGACAGACAGAAGCAATGACCAAACAAAAAACAAGAACCATTATCTCCTGGGGGAACACCCTCCATCGGAAGACAAGCCCCCAGGCAGGGCTCGCCTTCTCAGAGGCGAGAGGGAAAGCCGGGGTCACAGGCCCCCGGGGTGGTGAGGCCTGTCCATGCTGGAGCCCACTGTCTCAGCAGCGACAAAGACACAGCCGAGTCAGAAGGCAAGACCAGCCAACGGGAAAAGCCAAGAAGGTTACACTATCCTGAAGGAGAGGAGGAAAAGGTGGAGCCGCCAAGTAGGGGTCCTCTCTTCCCTGCTCTTTAGACACACCCAAATGATCGGGGGCCTCGGGGTTTTCATTTCCGCCGGCCCCCCACCCCTTACAGGGTAAACACACAGGCGTGAGCTCATGGAGCGGGGCCTGGAGTCAGCAGGTTTTAGATCGATGTGGAGCGTCAGCTGTGATTCATAGCAGCTCTCCGTGCTCTACATTGGGAGAACTTCCACCGATTTTATTTAACCTGATGGGAACAGAGGCCTGTTCTGTGCAAAACTGAACACACACAGAACAATGTGAGGAGGATGAAGGGTCTCCTCCCTCCCACCCACGTGCCAAGGTGCCCAAGATACACAGAGTCTGGGGGGGCCACGAAGGGTGGACCCGCTGTGTACCAGCCACGACAGCAGGCAATGCACGTAAAACAAACCTCTGCCTTCAAGGAGTTTTCAATCTTCCCTTTAAAAATGCATATGGGTTATCCAGTAAAAGTGGCCCATGACCTGTGAGCAGCCATCGCGACATTCCCAGAGCCACTGCTGAACTGTGCCTTCCTGTTAGAGTTCTAAGATCATAGATTTTATTTATTTATTCATGAAAGACAGAGAGAGAGAGAGAGAGGCAGAAGGAGAAGCAGGCTCCCAAGGAGCAGGGAGCGCGACGCGGGACTCGATCCCAGGACCCTGGGATCACGACCTGAGCTGAAGGCAGACGCTTAACCATCTGAGCCACCCAGGCGCCCTTGTCTTACCCTTTTAAGGAGCAGAACAGTGTTTATCATAACAGCTGCATTTGGTAGCCGCATAAATGTTTGTTGAGTTTTAATTGGTAATGGGAGGACACACTGAGCTTCTTGACATCCCTGAAATCAACTCCATGAGCCCGTCTCCTCGTCCTGCCAGGGCCAGTGCAGTGGTGCAGGCTGCGCTAATATTCCCAGCAGCACGCAGCAGGCGATCTCCGCATGTGGACTGTCCAACATGTGACATCATGGAGGGAATCCAGACTGGGAGTCCAGAGGACCTGAGGCACGTACCAGGCCTGCCATTGAAGAGCTGCAGGGCCTTGGGCCAGTCTCTTTACTGCAGCAGATGGACCAAGGACAGGACCCACTGGTGCATGATATTCCATCTTGTGACTATTGTTCTTCCTAAGTGGTCTTTGAACTGCACAGACCATTCGAGTTGATCAAGACTGTGAGCTAACCAGACGTGGGGGCCCAAGCCCTGGGTGGGGGCAAGAGCTGGGGGTGGGGAGGATGCCAGCCCTCCAATTCCGGGAGAGGGAGAGGCAGGGAGGAAGGGGTGCGTGGGTCACCTTGAAGCCCATCTGCCTGGGCTGAGAAGCACACATGGGCAGCCGACTGGAGGGGCGACCACCTATGAAGGAGTTAATTATACTGGATTTTAGATTTATCCCACCAAGCCCTTAAATGTAAATACCTAAGGAGCGGTTGTCATGTGGAAGTCCAAGGCAACCAGCCTGGCAACTTCGAGGACCAGGAGCACTTACTGTGCAAGTGTCAAATCTGGAAACATGGCCAGTTCAACAGCCCCTTTAATTGGCGTCTCTGGGGAGCCGAGAGCCAGCAGATCAGTCAGAGTGAACTGAGGAGGGGCAGCGCGAGGCGCGAGGCAGGGGAGGCAGGACGCCGGAGCTGGCTGCCCACGGCGTAGTCACAGACTGCCTTCCCCCAGCCTCTGGCTTCCAGCTTGCCCCCACCCTGCCTGGGACCTAAAGCCTTCCTTCCTCCCTTCCTCAGGAAAATAGCTAGGAAATCCAGGCACAATGGTCTACAAAGTGCTTGAGTTAATTTTTTGTCTTATCCCCAGGAAGCATTTTGGTTTGGCTTAAGGTATAGGAACAGGCTGTTAGGAGGTTTTCAGAAAGCAGCGAAACTTGGAGAGGGACAACCGCCTTGGTACTGGGGGGTGGACGGAGTGGGCAGGTAGGGCCCTGAACTCACCCCTGCACATGATACAGCCGCAAAAAGAATAACCAGCCTCACACTGAAAGTAGCCTGCCTGGCCTTCTGGTTCAAAATAGTGTCTGACTAGCAAATAAGAAAAGAAAGAGGAAAGAAAGAAGAAGGGAGAGGGGGAGGGTGGGAGGAAAGGTGGAAACATCATTCCAAAGAATCGGAAGAAAAGCAGAACTCTGCCAAGGGCCTCACACAGCATACAGTACAAGGATTCAGGAAAGCAGGCGTGCTTCGTGGAATACAAGAAGATTTGGTCTTTACGAAATAGGACTAAACATCTTTAAGGGTAGCAGGGGCTGCACGGAAAAGGCAAAAGGTGATATTAAAAGGGAACTAGGTTGAATAAGGAAAGGTATCAAGAGAACCAAAAAGCAGCAAATCCGTCAAAGTTCTCACCATCCGGCGAGTCCTTTAACCAACTCCTGGGAATTTATCATAAGAAGTAATCTTAGCTGTGCATAAAGATAAACTACAAGGATGTGTGTCACTGCACCCTTTATAGTATCAGGAATGCTGAGGAAAAGGATGTTCAACAAAAGAAGATCGGTTTAATCAGTCCTGGTATATCTGTGCACCGCAATACTAGAGCACTCACTAAAAAATTACATTGTAAAACCTTCATGGCATTTTATTTAAATAACATGGGGACATTTGCATACTCTATTTCAAAGTGGAAACAGAGCAGCTTGTAAAACACTGTTTACAATGACCCCATTTTATAAAAAATGATATATGTATAATAATTCACAGAAAAACATCTGGAGGATATGTACCAAGATATGCTCACTGGTTATCTCTGGGTGGTGAAATCATGGTGGTTTAGGTTTATCTCATTTTTTGTTTATGTGTATTTCCTAACTTTTTACAATGAATATGTATTACTTTTATAGGAAGAAAAAAATAATAGAAACATTCAGAATTAAAATGCACATTGACAGGAGAAAGGAAGGGACCTGGTAGTTTGGAAGAGTCAGTCAATGACGGGGTGGCGGAAAGTGATACGTTCTCACAGGATGCAAAGCACAGAGGAGGGAAGGGGCCAGAGGAAGCTGAGCGCTTTGCCAAGCAGAGAACAGAGATCCTATAAATGGCTAATTGGTGCTCCCGAACAGGAGGCCAGAACAGGTGCCATCCAAGCCAGAATCTGGTATATCATAGGAGATCTCTTTTCTGAGCTATAAATAAATAAATAAATAAATAAATAAATAAATAAATAAATAACTATCCTTTGCATCAAAGACTCATCAAGTCCCTGAGAAATTAAAAACAAAAGCAAAAAGGAGGGAGGGAAGGTAAGAGGATGAGTGTAAAGGAACCAACATAGGCCCCCCTCTTCTAGACTTTTTATTATAAATATAAAGAAAAAAATTCTGCAAGGATTCTGGCTGGAAAAAAAAAACAACAAAATAAAACAGATCATCTTGAAAGAAACAAAAATCCCCTTGGCTTCAGTATCAAATATCAGAAAGCAACGGAACGCGATTTCCAACATCTTAAAGGGAAAAAAAGAAAAGGAAAAAAACATGTTCTCACTCTGCCAAGCTGTCCTTTCCTTTGAGCATGAAGACAACAAAGGGGCCTGTTCTGGCGTGCAAACCTGCCTTGTTCGTGAAGTTTCTCAAGAGAGCACATCGGACGAGTGGGCCCATGTGACCAAGAAGGAACCTGACCTGGGGGTGGGAGGTGCAACTGCAAAACCTTGCCAAGGCCACACTCAGGCTCTGGGGTGTACCTTGCAGCTCTGTGCACTAACCCTGGCTCTTCACTCAGACTGTGTTCCTTCCCAGGATGGAGGAACGTGGCTGCGGTCATAAAACACACCTGTCTCTTCTCCCTCCTCCTCCCTGAGGACACACCCCTGCCTGCTCACTGGCTACTTAGGGTTCTGGACTCCTGCCCCATTTCTTCGCCAATCCAAGCAGCATTTAGCCTCCTGGAACCCTGTTCAGCACCAGGCTCGCGGCTCTTAGAGCCAGGGAAGCCCCCTCCTTTCCAAAGGAACCTTGGCCACTCCTCACTTCACCAATTCATGCCCCATTCCAGGCCAAGAGCTGGGGTGGTGCCCTCAAGGAATGTCCAGCCTAGTTATGGAGAGGAGTGCAGCAGACATGCGAGGATGCTCACTCAGCCCTTTCCCAAGCACCTTCTTCTTAGCCTACTTCTACTATAAAGACTGGAAAGCCAGCCACTTGTCCTACTTTCCACTGTAGCTAGGGTAACCACACAACTCATTTCTGACCAATGAAATGTAGGCAGAAGGCCCAAGGAGGGCATTGTGTCTTTCAAAATAAAGCAAGGCTTGCCAGAAAAAAAAAAAAAAAATGGTTTTCCCCTTTGGTCTTCCCTTCTCTTGCTGCCTGGAACACAGATAAGATGGCTAGAGATTCAGCAGCCATCATGTGATCATGAGGCAACAAGGTGGGGGATAAAAGCCACAGTGCCCAGGATGGTGACACAGCAAGACAGCAGCTGTCCTAAAAGCAGCTGCACCAGCCCTGAGCTGACCACATCTGGATTTTGTGTGAGATGAGAAAAATAAGCCCTGGTTATGTAACACTGCACTTCAATCGTCTGACAATTGCAGTCAAACACTGCTGATACAAGAAGGTAATGAAGTTAAGCAATAACAAAACCTCACCTATCAGGCAGCCTCATTCTGCGGTCAAATTGTTATAAGTCAGAGTGGTTTCTGTTTTAAGCAATACGATCTTTTTCAAAATATTTTTCAAATACATATTCTATAATAACCTTTCCCTAACCTTCTGTAATGAGCTGAAATCTACTGATAGCCTCATGAAGGGAGATATATGGGATTGTAGCCCATTTTCTAAGTGACCTCGGGACTTCTGTGGATTTTGAATATTCTTTTGGCTTTTTATATCTTCTTCAGAGAAGAAGAAGAAGAAGGTCCCCATTACAGTCCTCAATAGCCCTACCTAATACGATGACTCTTTCCCTCTCTAATCTTTTGCTGTAGGTTTTAAATTGTAGGCAAGAGTTTGCTAGAAGAGATTATAATGAGCACTAGGCTGAGAGAGAGTCTGAGGGGTCTTGCCTTCAAAATCAGCACAAGGCAAGAGAGAGCCAGAGGCATGAGCTCTCCTCACAAACTTTGAACCAGATAAATGTTAGCTCCTCAGAAGCCTTGTTTTCTTCTTGCTTCCTACCTTCGTCCTGGGTTGGTAAGATTATGAGGCACCTAAATGCAGATGTTGCAAGGCAACAGCCCAAGATAAGTCACAAGAAAGCTTATGATTAGGGTCCAATGAATGCCCTAAGCAGGCAGGGTTATAAGCATTCACAGGAGGGAGAGGTTGTGGTGGGCCAGAGTCAGGGAGAGCTTGAGTCTTGCAGGACGATCAGGCCCTGGCTACTTTTGGATGGGAGCCCCGGGCTTTCTGGGAATGTGGTAACGTGTGCAGGGTCTGGGAGGCTGGGAGTCAGGCAGCATGGTTGGCCAGGAGGCTCTGGCAGAAGAGTGGAGACAGATAGACCTAGAGAGGGAGGTTAGGCTGAAATATGCCCTCTGAAGAGCCAGAATTCCCCTCCCAGGCCACAGGGACCACAGAAAGGCAGCCGAACCTACCTTGGACAGGAACCAACCTGCAGACCCGCCCTTGTTGTTGTGGCCAACATTGATCTTCATCAGCTGCCCCAGATCCGGAGCATCTAGCATGAACTTGTCTTCAGCTCCCCTTTCAAAGTTGTCCTTTTCATTTTCCAGCCTACGCTCCCCTGTATACACACACAGGTAGGAAACTTACAAAGGAGACCAGAGGAGGAGAAAAAACCCACTTCTATCTAAGCTTAATGGTCTGCCCACTGGAGGTGGGTCTCAAAAGTCAACAAGGTGGGAGGTGGTGGGGGGTGGGGCAGGGACAGGTGGTACATAGTAGGTACTTTCTGTCCTTCCGCTCCATTTTGCTGTGAACCTAAAACTACTCTAACGACAATGTTAAATTTTTTTAAGAAGTCAACCCTGAGATCTCTGGGCTCTGTAAATCCCTCCAACCTCCAGTCAAGGGAGAAGCTTGCCCTGCATGTGGCTCGTGCCCAGGTCCCATAACTGGGTTTCTGCTTTCTGCCTTAGTCTAGAGTTCCCATCCTGGTAACCCCATGTGCACCCCCATCCTCAGAGCTGAAGTCCTGCCTGGCTTGTCCCAGCCTCGTATCCTGAACTGGGAGCATAGCCGTGGAAGTTGGTCCAGGGCTGTGCTGGGTCCCTGACCACCAAGAGATGTCCTTAGGCCTACCTCCTTTTCTGGAAAACAGCAATGACAGCTACCATCAGACATCCTAGTTCCACACAGATTTTTTTTTCTTTTCTCTCTATTTGTCACCACAATCCAAGAGGGGGTATTATTAATTCTGTCTTGTGGATGAAGAAACAGGCTTAGAGAAGCCCGATAACATGCCAGAAGTCATGTGGGTGATAAGCACATCGTTAGGATCCATTCTAACCTGTTCTTTCTACTTTGCAATTTTCCACTATTATGTCCCCAAGCCTGCAGGTCATATTAACACTTACAGCCCCACCTAAGCACCAGCTTCACGCTGATGCCATCCATTTGCTTTATTTCCTAAAATTTAATTCTTTACATCTTTCTACATTTTGAAGTGCAACCATTCAAACATACAGAAAGTAGTATAAGACACCCACACACCTACCACCAGATTTCAGAGGCAGAACAGGGGCTAACACTCTGCCTAATTGGCTTAGACCTTTCTCTTTTTTATTTTTTATTTTTTTTAAAGACTTTATTTATTTATTTGAGAGAGAGAATGAGAGACAGGGAGCATGAGAGGGAGGAGGGTGAGAAGGAGAAGCAGACTCCCCGCCGAGCAGGGAGCCCGATGTGGGACTCGATCCCGGGACTCCAGGATCATGACCTGAGCCGAAGGCAGTCACTTAACCAACTGAGCCAGCCAGGCGCCCCGACCTTTCTCTTTTTTAAAGAAGAGATGACAAGTAGGTCTAAAGTCTCACTGGCCACCCGACTCTCCTACTCCCTCCCCCAAATAAGCCCCACCCACAAGTGACCTGTATTGTCTCCGTGAATTTTGGTTCGCACGTGGACGTATTCATAGAGAAAATGTACTATTTTTTGCACGTTTTAGAATTTACAAGAATAACATCACAGTGCATATCTCTCTGTCTCAGGTTCGCCATCCACACAGCGGAGATGCGAACAGCACCACCGCATAGGGTCCGCTGTGAGGATGAACCGAATGGGTCCCCACGAAGTGGCTGCCTGAGCTAAGTGCTGTGTTCATGATGTGCTTCACGTGTTCTGGGAATACGTTGTAAAATTTATACCAGTTCAGAATTATCACATCTTCCAGGTTAACTGTTCCTTTCATCATAGTCTGATATATTTTTTTAAAGATTTTTATTTATTTATTGAGAGAGAGAGAGAATGGTAGAGAGAGAACATGAGAGGGAGGAA